CGCAGCACGGTGGCCGCCACGAAGAAGGGGAAGAGGCCCGACACCACCGCCTCGTAGGTCATCCAGGCGTGGTGCCGGTGCCACCACAGCGCGTTGTACAGCCACTCGCGGAAGTACGACTTGGACCAGCGCGTCTGCTGACTCAGCCAGCGCAGGAAGGACGAGGGCGTCTCCGAGTAGCAGCGCGACCTGGAGGTGTACCTGGACGGGTGCAAGAAGGGGCAGTCAGCGCCTCTCCAGGCCAGCAGGACTCTGCAGCCAGGGCCACTGGGGCAGCTCTGCACCTCTTAGCCGCCCTGGGCCTGTTTTCTCATAAGTCAAATGGGATCAGTAATGACTCCTAAGAAGGACAGTGTGCAGACTGAATGAAGATGCGATGCCACGGCTTAGTATTTGCTCAATAAATCATGGTTTTCCTATGACTAATAGCATTACTAATATTGTTACGGTCACCGACACTATTACTAATATGAGCACTAACATATTACTAATGTTAATGTTACTGGCAGGCATGGCTGCTACCTAGGGCGGTACTTGTGTGAAAGCTTCTCAAGGGAGCCATAAGGGGCCCTGCCTGAGGCCAGGGCAGACATCACTAATCCATCCCTGCACGCCTCCAGCTAAGCCTGCGCAAGGCCAGATCCCTCCTATGGACTTTCCCGTAGCCACTAGCAGTCAGTTGCTACTGAGGTCAGACCGTCCTCTCTCAAGGGCCTTACTAGACAGTGTCCAACCACCTTCCCCGCATCACTTGGCATCCTCAGGGGCCTGCCTACTTCTGCCCTTGCCTCCTGCAGTTTTTACTTGAAACAGCTGCCCCAAAGATCCTGTTCCGTGTCACTCCTCTACGCAGAACCCGTCCACGGTCCCCGTCTTAGTCCAAAGGCCCCACTGTAGTTGTGCGAGTGGACCCTGTTCCTGCTCCCCCTGGCTCACCGCTCCAGCCCTAATCCCTGTCCTACCTCAGGTGGGTAACACTTTAGCCCTTCCTGCTCTGTCTCCATCGCACATGCCATGAGCACGCTGTGTTCTACCTACGTATCTCGCTACTGTCTCCCCAGGCAACAACAGCGTGGGTCCATGTCCCTTTTTCCTGCTGCAGCTCTTCGAATGTTCTAGGAGCTTACCGGACGTTCCCTTGCCCCCGCCCCCGCTCTCTCCGGGTCTTTCACGGGGTCTATAAAAGTCATCGTCCCCTGCACTGAGCGTGGTCTAGTTCACACTCTCCCACGTCCCACGGAGTGGCTCCTCTCCTCCCGGAGCTCCTCTGAGAGCGAGGCACTTCCCCCTCTCTCACCTGACTCTCTCTGGCTGGCCTTCTCACTGGTGAGACTCCACCCTCTTTTCATCTCCTGCCCGTCCGACCTCACCCCACGCCTCATTTGGAGCCATCTGTGCTGCCGTGGTCTCCGTGGCAGCTCCCACTCATCGCATCGCCCTGTGTACCTTCTCCGTGGAATTCCCCCCAACCTTTTCTCACTTGGCAGAGTCCACGGGGTCACATGACTCAATGCAAATGCCACCTTTACCCCTTTTGGTGTCTCCCACACCCCCCTAATAACTCGCCTAGTAGACTCCATTGGCTGAATGCGGATGCCCTGTGTCCCTTATGGCTCTCCCTCTCTCTAACCCAGTGCCCCGGCACTCGGGTTTGGAGAATTCCCCCACCACACACTCTCACCGGGATGCTCGCTGGCCTCCACACACACCCAGCCACCCAGGCCCCAGCGTACTTGGTGGCATAGCCCATGCTGAGCATGCGGTTGGTGAGGTGCCGGTCGTCCCCGAAAGTGCAGTGGGTGCCCAGGAACTTCTGGTTGTACCAGGCCTCGAGGAACTGCTGCAGGAGGTTGTTCCTGTACAGGCCTAGGTGGGGTAGGGCGTGCAGGAGCATCAGCCTCTGCTGTCGCCAACACATCCCAACCTCGGCCCTGGCCCCATCTCCAGTTCCAGCCCCATCCTTAGTCATCGCAATCTGAGTCTCGGTCCTTTCTCCCACCTCAACTCCAACCCCAATTCTACCCTCATTCCAACTTGCCTGTCACTGCTCCCTTAAAGCCACTCCACTCTCATTTCCGATCCCATATCCATTCTCAGGCCCATCCCCACTCACAAGCCTGGCCTCAGCCCTGCGCCTGACTCCAACCACACTCCACTGTCTCCCCAAATCCTTCCATCCATACCCTCTCTTTAACCCAGCGCCAGCACAAACACCATCCCCACCACCAGCTTCCAGCCTTGTCTAGTCCCCAGTTCCTGCCCCAGACCCATCTTTGTCCCCAACCCCTATCGCACCCTTAGCCCCCTCTAGCTCCCCTTCTCTCCCTCCATTGTCCATGGCCCTGGCCAGCCCTGCTCCTGCTCACCAAGGGGACCGCTGATGCAGGACACGCAGTGGAAGTAGCTCTGACAAGCCCGCTCCACGTTGAAGGCGACCCAGTACCGCAGGCTGCTAAGGAAGCTGACCCAGGAGTCCAGAGGGTTAAGGATCCGCACGTCACCCCCGACAGCCCCCACCCGAGGGTCCTCGTCCAGCACTCGCACCAGCTCCAGCAGTGCCATGGGGTCCAACCTGGTATCCGAGTCACAGACCTGCGAGGTGGAAGGGCTAGGATCAGCCAGATGCTGCGCAGGGCTGGTGCCCAGGGAAAGGGACATCTGGAAGGGGGGGGTGAGGTTGGCACCTGGGGCACTCTGCCACCCACCTGAACATAATTTTGAATGTTTAGTCATTTTCAATGCCTGATCACATTTTGAGACAAACTCCAAGACCCACGCCCTTGTCTAATACCCTCCTGTGGTATGCAGGCAAGACCTGCCACTTGCTCCTAACCCCCCGAATCTGGACAGGTACAGGGCATAACTCCCACGACTACATCATCTTATACAGACGTGGGGGTGGGTCCTGGAATGTAACTAAGGCCCCCAAACCCACTGACTAAATTAATCGGAAGGTTGTCCCACGTGGGCCTTTTAAATGAGGGTGTGGAAGTCAGCGGTTCTCTTCCTGGCCTTGAAGAGGCAAGCTCCCGGGAGTTCCGCCCAGCCTCAGATAAGACCCAGCTGTGCCGGCACCCTGACTGCAGCCTGGGGATGCCCTGAACAGAGGACCCAGTTCAGCTGTGCCGGAAGGCCTGACTCAGAGACTAAGAGATAATAGGTGTACTTGTTCAAGCTGCCCAGTTTACGCAGCAATAGAAAACGAGTGTGACGCATTAGTGAATGAGTGTCTAAACAGAACGGACGAGTGAATGACTACGTGAACAAACGCATCTCTATACCGAAGAGGTGGATAAATGAATAAACAAAAGCATCTCAAGGAGGAATGGAGGGAGGGAGGGAAGGAGAGGCAGAGGGAGGGAACAGGGAGCCGGAAATGAACAGGTCTCCACTTTCAGTGGCTAAATAAATGGGTGAACAGTGAATGACCTCGGCAGCGGATGGCGAGATGGATGCGTGAATGCATGTGAAGGAAAGAATGTCTGCTAGATGAATGAAGAAAGGGAGGAATCAATTCTGTACTGAGTGGACAGCTAAATTAACCAGCGGGTAGATGGAGGAGCGGACGGATGAAGGTGGCTATACTGAATGGCTGGCGAAATGAAAGAAACGAAGCGGAGTCTCTTCCTTGAACGAGTGGGTGAGTGAAGAAAGGAGCGGGCCTCTCTGCACCGGTGGATAAATGATCTCCGAACCGGAAGGACGGAGGGATGTAGGAATGCGTGAGGGAAAGTCTCTCTCCATTGAACGGATGAGCGAATAAAGGAAGCCAGGAAGAGACCCCTTCAGATCTCACTGACTCGGGGGACGCGGGCGGAGAGGGCCCCCACTCACCTGCACGTAGTCCACCGAGTCGCCGAGCGCCTTGAAG